CGAACATTGCCGTTCTGGTCGGTGCGACGGCGTCAGCCCCAGAATATGTGAAGCGGCTCTCCCTTTGGATGCTCGGTGCAATGAGGATTCCGACTGTCATTCTGGTTATTGTAGCTGGAGTCTGCGATGCGCGGACCCATCCTTGAAACAGACTGAAATCAGTGTCGAAAATGGAGTTATAAACTGGCGCGTCCCTGTAGCGATTGCAGCTGCTATTATTGCTGCTTGTTGCATTGGAAAGTTTGCCATCAGGTGGTGGTGTGAAAGCCGACACGATTACGAAGAGATTCCAGCTGCCGATGTCGAAGAAGATGACAAGCAGTCATAGCCGGGACGTGGGCATGCTATTTAGTAGTTTTAAAATAGGTTTTGCACCCTGGAGTGGGACTCTATGGGTTCGAACCAGATTGTTTGCATGGTGTTGTCAGTTGCGAAGGAAACAATGGAGCGGGACTTGAGGCAAATGACTTTGGCGATGGCGGAAACCTTGATCGGCAAAGGTTTTCCGATCAGACCTCACCATACTAGTACTCTGAGAGTAAGACCGCGGTAGGAGAGGACGATGAGAATCCCCGAGAAGAGAGCCGCGAGAATTCTGGAGAAAAAGGAAATGAGAAGTCAAGAATGCATTTACACTCACTTGACTACGCAAAAGTACAGTTTGAAGAGACAAAAGCGAGTCTGCGATCTGGCATCAAGCTTCCAGGAACAATTGCAGGGCTTGATTTTGACCACCTTGTTGCAGTTCGAGGTCGATCCAAGCAAACTTGATTTGTCCCCTGACCCAATGTTGCTTCTCATCAAGGCCGCCGTCAACTGGTTGTGGTGTTGCGGCCAGAAGCTTCTCCCGGCTTGTGGGCGTAGTAACGAGGAAGAGGAGGAAGAGGAATTGGTTGCTCCCTCCACGCCGATTCCAACTACAATTGGATGCAAACCAGTGCCCGTGAGATGATGTAGTGGTGTTGAATCTTTGAATCTAGGTTAGCCTAGTACGAGTATGCTGCAGTTTGTGATATTAATAGCTAGACCAGTTCCACGGAATACGGGATTGGCTGGATGTGTAAATTTGCTATGTAGTGTGCGTTATTGTGTCGTAACCATACAACAACATGTAAATAGTCCCAAGTTACTGAGCTTCAGCCTACTTTCCCCCGGCTCGGCTTTGGGTAATGACCACAGCAGCAAGCCCCAAGACAAAAATCAATGAGAGTGTTGCCATGGTGAGGCCTGCCACAATCATGGCTTCATACTTGTGTGAAAACTCGGCTTCATCATTGCCACCACCACTACTGGGATTCTCCAATTCGGTTTGCAAAGTGGCGACCTGTTCCTCGAGTTGCAAGATGACCGCACGTAGATCTTGCACACCATCCAGATTGTGTTCGCGCTCAACTGCTGGAAAGTTGCGTCTGTTGGAGGAAAGAACATATGCTCCTGCGCCAACAATGGGTTCAGGCTTGTCTTCAAATGTCCATTGAGGGTCTTCTGGAGAAATATTGACACTCTCCAGCAATTCAATTCCCTTCATGCCCAATTCTAGGGCGGGACCATCCGCCAAAAAGAATCCATAGTTGGATTGACAACGCGAAACATAATTGGGATCGTAGAGTGCCTTCAAAAAGGTAATCAAAAGACCACGCTCCGCAGGATCTGTCTTGAAGGACAAGTCTGTGCGGATATAAATGTAGGTCAGGAGAGTGATGGGCCATGTGTATTCTCCCTGCTGGTCGAGCAAAGATACTCGACCAAAATCAGCAGTGGGGTCAGAAGGCAAAACACCGGATTCTTTGGCCCCGATACCACCGTTGGCAGCGGCAATTTGGGAGGTGAGCAAACGGCCATATTTGTTCTTGATGGAGATCTCATCCAATCCAGCAAAAAGACCAATACCAGCGTCATTGTATCCGATTGTTCCAGCACGTTGAGTGATGCAATCATTCATCCCCAAGGTGCCCCGACAGGCTTCCGTGTCAATGGGCCATTCCGGGAGAGGCCCTACCATGTCAGCTGGAAAGTGTTGGGGACAGGCAACCCTCAAGTACTGCAATGAAAGAAAGCAAAGGATAAATGTAAGAAAGATTGTTGAAGGTCAAGCAAAAGGAAAACGAAACGCAGAAAACCATGAAACCAACATACCTGAGTAATGGCGTTGGTATTGGAACTTCCCTCCTCTCGACGGGCCACGCGGATGCGCAAAGACGCTCCCAAACTGTTGGAATTGTCGCCAGCAAACAGCCTGTCAAGACCAGGATTGATTTCCCGGATATCTGGATGAGCCCAATCCTTGATGTCTCGCATAAAGATGCGCGCCAACAAACAGGAGGTCAAGTTCAGGTTGGGCATGTCAGGCACCGAATGGAAGAAGGACACGGCTCCAAAGAGGGTGGGTAGCTGCATGACAGTCACATTGGCATCTTGGAATGTCTGCCACTGTTCCGTGGACAAGGGGATCTCTCCAGATCCAAAATCATCGGCAGAACGGAGAGGGTTGAACTCATTCACAAACTCTTCCAGACCAATGGAAGATCCCACAGAACGGTAGGTCATGCGCAATGGTACCTTGGAGCGGGCTTGCAATTCTTCAATGACGGATCCGTAGCAACGAGCAGGGTTGCTAGTACCCGAGCCATGGACGCCCAGCACAGAGTCGGTAGCGTCGACCAACACACCATGGAGGGATACACAAACGAGAAGAGTGGAAAGAAGGTTGGAGCGCATCATTGTAATAGCCAATAGTGCACAAGAGGGAAAAGAATTCGTTTTGGCTTTTGTCGTCCTTGGAAACAATTATGAGAGGAAGTGAGAAAGAGAGAAAGAGAGATGGATCCAAAGTCAAGTTTCGTTGGTGATTGGTTTTCAATGACCAGCAGGGTCACTCTCTGGCAAGCCAATGACTGCTCGAACGCACTGATGCAATAGGAAATGATGAATGATGAAGCGAATCGTACTGGTACAAGCTTGGGAGGCTTGACCTTTGAACTTTGAAGCTCCGATTGGCCAAATGGCGGCCATTAGGAAGCAGCAAAAAGTGAGCCAGAGATTGGCTGCAGTGAACGATGACCCCAATCGCTTCAAGTTGGAGTTCGTCGATTGATAAAAAGAAACTGGATTCTATGTCGTACCGGTAGAGTCCGAGACAAGACCACTTAAAACTTCACTCTGCACTGTGCGATAAAGTATGTGCTCCGCGTAGCCGAGTAGGTCTACAAGGTCACCCAAGACCCAAGACACAACTAAAAAGCATGCTGCGATTCCTCATCAATACTGGTATTGTCAATCAGTGTTGAATGATGCATCAACTAAATTACAGCTACAAGTAGCCAGAAATACTGCCATGCGAAGGTGGTGAGTTGGTGGTGTGGCTTGTTGAGGAGGCGGTGCTTCGGTGTCATGCGACCATTCACCACTTTCATGGCAACAATCAACCACTATGCCGCTACACTTTTAAAGTGTAGCAGAAGACTAGAATGGTAGGAGAGGGCGCTGCGTCTTGCTGGAGGTGGTGCTTCAGTGTCAAGGATTTCATTGACTACTTTCGTTCAGCCAAACCCACAGGATCACCATAGCTTGCTTCTCTGTAATAACAACATCTGAACATGTTGGTCACTGTTGGTCACTGTTGGTCACTGTTGGTCAATGCACCAAAGTGCTACTTTCATTCAAACTGGATCGCCAGATCGTCTCTGTAGTAACATCTGGACTGGGTTGGTCTACCGAAGTGCCTACCAGTGGTGACTATTCCAGCTCCAGTGACTTCCCTGGACCAACCAAAATGCATCAACAGTGGTAAACAATGCTTGTAGAACATCCCGCTTTTCTGTGCACTGTGTGACTGGGGTGCAGGGGGAGTCGAGTTCGCACTGTGTATTTTACATAGAACCTTATTGAACTAAAGGCAATGTGGAACATTGTGGAAAGACATTCTAGCGAGACATTCTAGTACGCACATTGGACTAATAAGGGATAGACACGAAACAAATTACATGTACGCAACTACAACTACAAAGTCACAGGGCAGTTCTTTTGCAGCCAAAACGGTAACAGGAGTGATGGGCTGTCGCACCATTGGTGATGGGCTGTCGAACAAAAGGTGGTGTCGAGTGTCGAGGCGATATTGGTGGAAGCAACGGAGATGCCGGGACATCTTCATGCAGTTTAGCAGCCAATCGAGCAAAAGCTCCGAGTTACTTTGGAGTGGCAATAGGTCTTGGTCGAATATTCCTTGCAGATGTTTACCTCAAAGCCGGCTTGGATACCACACCATAGCATTCCACCGGTTCGATGCTGCCAGTCTGCTACCGGTATGAGTCGATGAACTTGAACACATGAACCAGTACAGTACTCCGGGTAGGGGAATAAGTGTATGAGCAAAAAGGGGATGCGTTCATTTAGATGCGAAGGGTCGTACGCAAACGAACGCTGGGGAAGCTTTGTCATGGTTGCTTTTTGTTTAAGAGTCGCCCAAAGCCATATTTCGGTACCGGTAGGATGCGAATGGCGACGCATATATTCGAACGCTGAGGAAGGATGGTGGTAACTTTGAATCTTCCCATGGTTGGAAACTCTAGAACACACTGACGCCTACATGTACGTGTAGACTATTTAGCCAACGGAATTCCAGCCTCTTGTGGATTTACGATCTCCACGATTCAGTGGGGTGAGAAAGTTGAAAGTAAGGGTGAATGACTGCTGTAGTAGGCGTTACCGTACAGTTGGTACGGGACGTTGGTACTCATGATAGCTCTCATGATGTATTTCTAGGACGTTGAAGTTTGGTGCTTCATTATTTATTTGGCCATTGGGCAATAATGACCAGATACCAGGTAATCTGTGCATGAGAACTTGGTCACTGTTTCAGGGTCATTCCGCAATGATCTTAATTCCGCAACTCAATGTAACTTCAATACGGGTCTAAAAAATCTCTTTCCTCAGTAAGTTTCTTCTTCAAGCTGTCATTTGATGATTCGGCCACGTGAGCATTACGTAATCAATGAACCTTCACCCACCCAAATGACCATTTGGACAAAATAGGAGCACGACGTTTCTAGGTTGTGGTACAAAACGTACGGTGTGCAAAATCTGCATCCTTGGCCCGACTGCCAATCGAAAAGCTCCGCATCGAAAAGGCGGACATCGCAAAGTTCAGCTCCCCTGGCATGTCTTCTGCTGTAGCAGGGTCTGTTCCAAAGGTTTCCGCATTTTGTTTACAGCATACAAATTTTTCGTTCTACAGCATACAAATTTTTCTTCCCAGCTTCTTCCCAAGACGACGACATCTTTATCGATCGTCTTGCAAGGTGTGTGTCCTTTCGTATTTCGACAGGCTTTAGAAGACCAGTGAACACCAAGTGAAGCCAACCAAGCTTCTTTTCACAAGTAAGTAGTGTTCAATCCATTGCGTTCCCATAGTCTAGTTTGTTTGAGGCAAAGATTCAACCAACTAACTAACCAACCAGCCAACCAACGTCACAGAGTAAAAGTCACAAAGTAAAAGTCACAAAGTAAAAGCAAGAGCCATGGCGGAACGAGCCTCCCTCAAGTACAACAACCTTGCCCGTCAGGAGTCGTCTGACTTTTGCGCCTCCTCTGACAGCAACGAGCGCGCCTTTGTGGACGAGATCCTACAAGACGAGCCGCAGGAAGACGTGAGTGTCTCGGAGGAATGTTTTGACGAGGACGATGAGGACCTCGAAGGCACTGGGGTCTCCAGTTCGGGGCGTGCCAAGAGCGATTCCGACTCTGTCGTCCAAGATCCCGAAGAAGACGAGAAGATCAAGTTCACTCCCGAGATGACCCGCAATGTCTTTCGTCTCCGCATGTTGGTCATTGTGGTCCTCTTCATCGCCGCTGGCGTGGTTTCCTTTGTCGTCTTCTCCGTCAGCAACGGAGGAGAAATCGAAGAGTTTGAATCCAACTATGAAGGCACCGCCACCAAGGTCCTGGAAGTGTTTCAAGGAATCTTCACGGAGAAGCTCGACGCGGTGGCCTCCTTGGCCATTGCCACCACGGCGCACTCGGTGGATCACAAGGACCATTGGCCCTTTTCAACCCTCTCCTTCTTCCAAGAACGAGCCACTGCCGCCCGCAAGCAGTCGGGGACGCTCTTTACAGCCGTGGTCCCTTTGGTCACCTACGAAGATCGTGACGCATGGGAGAACTACACCCGGGTGGACCCCGTCGGCTGGATTCAAGAAGGACTTGATGCGCAAGACCAGTGGGACCCCATGAGACTCGGTGTCAGTCTGCCTTCGTATGCTGGAACGGTACACCCTGGCTACATTGTGCATGATGACTGGGAACTTGGATTGATTCGCGATGAAGGTTACGGTCCTTACTTCCCCATCTGGTAAGCCTGCTGCATGCTTGTATGTTTGTTCGGTTGGTTTGCGTGGAATGCCAGGCCGCTCACTCCTAGTCTTTCTTTGCTTTGCAGGGCGGCTTCTCCGGTTGTCAAGGGTTTGGTCAACTTCAATCTGGGTTCCCTCCCAACGTGGCTCGAAGAGATCGCGACCAGTATGCAAAAGAATGCGGTGGTCATTGGAAGGATGTTGACACCACCTCCCGGTACGTGCTCTCCATTCTGCCGACCTTCTCAGAACAAGGCTTGCTTCTTGTAGATCCTTCAATCTTACACCCCTGGTCCCCTGCTTTGTGCCTTCTTCTGTTACAACTTAGGCAACGCCCTTCATGCAGGCTTTCTCACCCGCTTCTTTGCCACCTTGCTCAGCATCAAGTACGCCAAACCAACCGAGTACCAGGGTGACCCCTTCAGCTACGTCTTCTTCCCCATCTTTAACAACTTTGATCACAATCACACTTCCGTAGCGGTCTTGTTCACTGTCATCAATTGGGCCACTTTCTTCGAAAACCTTCTTCCAGATAACATCATGGGCGTTACCCTCGTGCTGGAGAATGGGTGTGATCAGCCATTCACTTACACAATCAATGGACCAGAAGTCGTTTTCCAGGGTCCAGGTGACCTTCACGACATGAAGTGTAAGTTTGCGAATCGATCTGTGGTGGTGTGTCCTGTTTGTGCCGTCACTGATGCTGTTGCTTCCTCTTTCGCTCCACATTCCACACTTGTAGATGACGAATTCATGAGAACGGCATCGTTTAAAGAACTCGAGAATCGTACCAAAAGCGCTTCCGATGTTTCCAACATCAACTTTGCCCTCGATTCCAACGAGTGCCCCTACAGCATCCGCATCTATCCCTCCCAAGCATACGTTAATATGCACACCACTGCCACTCCAGAAACCATCACAACTGCCGTCGCCGGGATCTTCATTTTTACAGCTCTCATGTTCTTGATCTACGACCGCCTGGTCGAGCGCAGGCAAAAGATCATTTTGAGCAAGGCAACCCACTCCACGGCCATTCTCTCCTCCATTTATCCCAAGAACATTCGTGATCGACTCCTCGAAGATGCGGAACGCAAGGACAAGGAAGGAAACGGATCCGGCAAGAAGAACGGCAACAACTCTAACAGCCCAGGTGACTTTATGGCGCCAAACCACCGTCTCAAGTCCTTCTTGAGTGGCAGTGCCGCTGGATCCATGGATGGTACATCTGGAGGCCAGCCATTGGCCGATCTCTTTCCACACACGTAAGCGAGCACGAAGTTGATGAAGCTTCCTGCATTGCTACAAACAGACATGCCGTACTCACCGCTACTTTTCCGTGAATGAACGACAGAACCGTGCTCTTTGCTGACATTGCCGGATTCACCGCTTGGAGCTCCGTCCGTGATCCTTCCCAAGTGTTCATCTTGCTGGTAAGTGCACTGATTGGGCCACCAGCAGTTTCCCTTATGGTTCTTGATTTGAATCACTCATCTTCGTCTACCCAAAATTATGCACTCGCAGCAAACTTTGTATGGTGCATTCGATGATCTGGCAAAGAGGAGGAGGGTGTTTAAGATAGGTAAGAATCCTCTTCCAGAGGCTCCATTTTCGTTTCAACATTGCACATCCATCAACTCATCAAGCAATTGCTCTATTTCTACTTCCACAGAGACTATCGGCGACTGGTAATTGATCCTTTCTTGATGCCTCGTTTCTACTTGGGAGATTCTAGTTGTCACTCACAGCCTTTTCTTCTCGTCAACTTGCTTCCCTCCAGCTATGTTGCGGTCACCGGTCTTCCGAAACCTCAAGACAACCACGCAATCATCATGGTACGGCATGCATCTGCCTTGTGGTATGAACGCAAATGACACTCTTCTACATGATCTCACAGTGACTTTTCAACTGCAGGCTCGCTTTGCACACGATTGTCTCGTTCGTATGAGACAAGTTACACGGCAGCTGATCTCTTTGGGGCCCGGTACAGATGAACTCGGTACGTCGTCTCGACCAATGAACGACAGCAAACGAAAGAATTCATTCTTCAATGGCTCAACACCCCAACCTTCTCGACGCTACTTTAGGTATTCGCCTCGGGCTTCATAGCGGACCTGTCACTGCAGGTGTGTTGCGTGGAGACAGGGCACGCTTCCAATTGTTCGGGTACGTTTTTTGCTTCTGCAAAATCACCACACCAACTTGTTTTGCTTGGAATTCTCACACGACTTACTTTCGACTTGCATCTCCGCAGTGATACTGTTAATACTGCCGCTCGGATGGAAAGGTAAGGCGAACGAGATTGAAACTGACATCATGCTTGTATCCAGCCACCTTACAAGGACGTCCCCCCACTCTTGCTTTTCCAGCACGGGAGTTCGAAACAGAATCCAGGTTTCTCAGCAAACGGCTGCCTTGTTGACTGCAGCTGGAAAAGGTCACTGGTGAGTTCGTCCACGCTCCGATGCTATCAACTGCGGTTCATCGATCTCCTTCTCATTTCTTTTTTCCGCGCCTGTCTTTTGTCGCGTAGGTTAAAGGCTCGCGATGATTGTGTTCACGCCAAGGGCAAAGGTACGAGACGACTACGCGAACACCGCTCTTAAATTGCTACCAAAGTCTCACTGAACTTCATCTGTGTGGTTCATAGGGGTTTTGAGCACATTCTGGGTCCTTGTCAAGAGAGGGGGTAGCGTCGCTTCTTCCAGCAGTAGTGTCAGCGATGCAACCCCCGGTTCTTCAGTGCCTAGTCTTTCTATTGCCGACCGGAAAGCAATGGAAGAGGCAAGCCGCAGGAGCCGTCTTGTTGACTGGGTTGTCGAAATGCTCTTGCATTACATGCAGCAAATTTGCGCCTTACGCCACACCAAGAATGTTGCTCCAAGCACAGAAGACCTTGTTCTCACCAAAACAGACTGCAACCTTGATGAGCTGGTGGACGCGATCTCTCTTCCAAAGATCGATGCGTCCAAGATGAAGGTGCCCAAAGAAGAGGCCATCAGCAAAGAAGCTGTTGATCAACTTCGAAACCTAGTCACCGAAATTGCAAAAACTTACAACGACAATCCCTTTCACAATTGGGACCACGCCTGCCACGTGACGATGGTAGGTTCTCAGCAATTTGATCGTTCCAGCGGTGGATTTCCTCCTTTCCACTGTTCCTCCTCGCCCCTAACTGTTTTTCTGCTGCGCACTTTCAATGAAAGGCATGTCACAAGTTCTTGCAACGCATTATATCTCCTGATTTGGATGTCGCAGAGCTAGAACTTGCGGAGAAGAACACCGAGAAGTTTGTGTCTAATCTGCATGATTTTACCCACGGGATCAACTCGGATCCTGTGGCCCGAACTGCAATCATCTTTTCTGCATTGATTCACGATGCCGGTAAGAACAGTGATTCGAATCGACCGTATCGACTGCTTGAATATGCTCTCTCACACTTCATTCTTGTCATTACTCCAATTCCTCAAAGACCACCGTGGTGTCTCCAACGCTCAGCTTGCGAGAGAGGATGAAGCCATGGCGGAGTTCTACAACAAAAAGTCAATCGCGGAACAGGTACGTGTAGATCACCACGGCGGGTCGCGGTGAATCGTAAATTCTTTCGCACCAATTGCTCACATGTATTTTCCCTCCGCTATAGAATTCATTGGATATCTGCTGGAACATGCTCATGTCCCCCGAATACTCTGATCTGAGGCGATGCCTCTTTGCCAACGAATCCGACATGCGCCGATTCCGTCAAGTCTGCGTCAACGTCGTCCTTGGTAAGTCTGGGCTGGTGCTGGCTGATGAATGCAACCAAATGCAATCCCAAGACGTGTGACTCATCTCTCGTCATTTTAACCTCTCTTTAGCAACCGATATCTTCGACAAAGAGCTCAACGATCTCCGCAAGGCACGATGGAACCGAGCCTTCGCGATCGTAACCGAAAGTAAAGATGGCCAAGACGAAGAACAGGCAGTTGTGGATGCCAGTCCCCCCGAAGAGAAACCGACAGGAAATGACAGTGGCCTCCGTGCGACGATTGTGGTAAGTCCATGTTGCGAATGACCTGCTTCAGAAGCGGACAACGCCGCAGCTCACACCAGCTCTCTTTCGTTGCAGATTGAACACATTATTCAAGCCAGCGATGTGTCGCACACGATGCAGCACTGGCATGTTTATCGCAAGTGGAACCGTCTCCTGTTCCACGAAATGCACGAAGCCTACCGCAATGGGCGAATGGGGGCAGATCCCGCAAAGTTCTGGTACCAGGGGGAGCTTGGCTTTTTTGACAACTACATCATCCCCCTTGCTAGAAAGCTCAAGGACTGCAATGTCTTTGGTGTCTCTAGCGAAGAGTGCCTCAACTATGCTTTGCGAAACCGCGAAGAATGGCAAGAGAGAGGAACAGAGATTGTTGAGGATTTGGTGGCTGAGCTAGCAGAGAAAGAAATCAAGGAAGCCGCCAAAGAAACAATCGAAGAATAGGCTCCCAGTTGTGCCTCCGTAGCCAGCTGCCGATATTGTCGATGGGGTTCAAGGGGCGGGCAGCCTGACGACTACAACCACAACCACATGAATTCACTAACCCAAGTATTTAGAACATTAGTTATGCATTTGAACTTTGACCGCTGGCACCAGTCATTGGGAGTTGCAGCACCTAGCCACAACAACAGGAATTCACTACATACATGTAAGCCAAGTCTTTAGAACATTAGTTATACGTTTGAACTTTCACCCCTGGCACCACACTCATTGGGAGTCGCAGCAACTAGCTAGCTAAGGATTGAAGAATGATTCGATCGCCGGCATCAATTCTCATCAAGGTCCCAGGTACGCTGTCGGTCGGCTGAAGCATCGTGACCTGGCGGTACCAGGTCCCAATAATGTGTGTGGTTCCGCCTCCAAAGACTCAGCCCTCTACAGTTCTAACCGTCCCGTTCTTTTCTATTGATAGCAGTGCACGTGTTATCTAAGAAAAGCTACTGTCATTACATTACCAAGCTAAGATTACCACACTGTGTAGGCACAATAGCCAACTCTTACTTGTTCTTTGATCTTTTTGTCGTCTTTTGTTTTGCTTTCGTTGTTGTTTTTCCTTTCTCATTTGAGTGCGTCCAATTGATTGTTGTCTCCCTACATGGGAGGCTAAAAGAATACTACTAGGTACTACTAGAAACGTGTTGTTGTGTTGACATGCGAATCAGTTTTGTTTTCTCACAAGCAAGCTTTGGGGTGTTTTGAGGGGTCCTGTCTATTTGGAGCGCCTTTTGTTGCGGTTGCTTCAGTCAATAAGACAGGCAGTCTTAACCTCGATACAGCCAAAAGTGTCTACTGGCGGCGACGACGAAGCTCGCTGGTCTTGTAAGCTTGGCTCCTTTCCTCGTCTAGGAGCGTCTCTAGGGGGCTCTCTTCGTCGCTGTTTGGCGCGGGGTCTTGCTCTTTCTGGTTGTTGGCTTGTTGTTGTTGTTGATTGTAGTTGAGCTGGGCTTTCTCGACTCGTTCCTTGACGTGGAACGGGTCATCGTTCTTCTTGCTGGGTTCGTCGTCCTCTTGCGTAGCAGGAAGCGTCATCATGGGAGGGTTTGCTGCTTGGATAGGAATGGAACGAACGGCATGGTGCATACGATCGGCGTCCTTGGGTGCCCACACGGTGAGGACGCCATTGTCGACGGAAGCCTTCATTTGATCCACTTGCACAAAGGGATCAACGGAAAAGGAACGCGAGAAATGAGAATCGGAGTAAAAGTAGCTGTTGCTGGAGGATTCGCTTTGACGGTGTCCCGAAATGGTCAAAATACGCTTGGACTCGTCAAAGGACACGGCAACGTTGTCCGTGGTCATGCCTCCAACATCCAGGACAACCTTGAATTGATCTTCCGTGTTGATGAATTGCTCTGTCGATGATTGGGAGAAGAAAGGAGCCGCCCCACGGAAGACGGCATGCTGTATTGCGTTCTCGTGACTACGAAAGATGTCCAGAATGTCTTCTGCTGTGCTAATCAAGTCCGACGGAGGATCAAACGACAACGGGAAGCTAATCAAGTCATAGCCTTCCACAGATTTAATGAAAAGACCAAAGGTCAAGAGCGATAGGTACGCGGCGGCAAGGTTCATGGTCGGGTTTGTTTTTGTGATGGGCAATATTGTTGGATACAACGGTGGATTATTAGATGGTTGCTATCTGGTGAGCCAGCACAAACAAGAACCGCTCGCCATTAATTTTTCGAAGAAGATCGGATGGATTCCATTCTCTCGAGGAAGCCAGACATGGGAACCATCTGTGATTGGAGCCATCTGGCCACGAAACGTTTTGAAAGCCGTTAGAGCTGCCAAGCCTTTCAAAATTCGCCGAACCTCGCCTTCTGCGATCAAGAAAACAGCAGCCTGCCAGCAGCGGGTCAGTTGAATTTGGTGCCATAATTTGGTGCCGGTGCAGTTCTCCTGCACCGTCCTCGCACCGCACTGCACCAAAAGTAGGGGCACTTCAACTAGCGTAACTAGCTAGAGTAACTGACGTAACTAGCGTAGCTAGCGTAGGGTAACTGACATAATGGTGCGGAAGGGCGTGAGGCTCCATGGAGTTCTTTCATGGGACTGGTCCATTCACATGGTCGCAGCACAACTGCGCGCGTCGCAATGCGGCACTCCTTCATTTGAAATTCCCGCCATGGTCAAGGCCTTGCCCGTCGTTGTTATTGGTACCAGCACAGTATACAGGCGTAGACTACATGTACAGTACATTTAGCACCGAAGCACTGAAAGGAAGCTAGCTACTAGAATATTGCAGCAAGAGCACAAGTTTACTTGAGGACTACTGTATCGTAGGCCAGTTGGAAGAGTACTCCTTGTAGTAGTACTGGTACTAGTAGTACTATCATCCAGCCATCACGAGCTGTCTGCTCACACCACCAAAAAAAGGCAAAACCCACTCGTTCATCCACAACAAGCACTTCTTCCACTCATTCATCACAACAGCCGGCCATGCATTCCCTCCAACTAAGTCATCTAAGAAGCAAACACTGCATGTAGTCAGACTCTGCTCCACGAAAAGACTCACGTTAACCCAGTCCTGTGGCCTGTTGGTATGGATAGCGTCGATGCCATCTGGGCCGGACAGAGTGGTTCAAACTGTGCAGTAAAAGTGTGTGGGAATGATATTTTGCTGTACTATGCGGACAAGGATGGCTGGGACCTCCAAGCTCAATTGTTGCCCACCAAGGAATTGTGGAAATGATCTCCGAATACAAGGAAACCTCACGGACTGGTCCAGTCACTGACAACAGAAAACCACCAGCTGAGCACTGGAGCACCATGCAGCACGTCCCGATGGATGATGGATGACATTATTGTACATTGCAACATGTATTTGGTCTAGGCCGGGGCTGTCATTGGCAGTATGGAAGCACTTGCGTTAGCCATCATGAGCTGTCTACAGAACCAGCAAAGCCCCAGCTCATTCATCCACGAGTAGCACTGCTTCTGCACTCATTCATCACAACAGCCAAGCAATCATTAACAGCAAGGTCATCCAAGAAGCAACACTGCAGTCAGACTTTCCTTCATGAAAAAGCACAAATGAACCAAGTACTGTACGGTAGCTGGGAGGTATGGATAGCATCGATGCTGTCTGGGACAGGACATGAATGATTCAAACTGAGTAATAAAGCGGTCGGAAAAGAGACTTTGGTGCAGTGTACTAGTATGTTGAAATCCATTACCAACCCACTACCACTGCAGCTACAGCCAATTGGCACCAATACTATTACCAACAGTGATTTATCTGTCGGCAACAATGAATTTGCGACAAGCAACCAGGCAACAACGAACGACGCTCCCGGTACCGTAACGGCTACCGCTGCTACGACCACTACATACTACTACGACGAACTACACTGATAGTGGCAACAGTGTCGGCAACATGACAGTGTCAGCACAAGACCAGTCAGGAGGAGCTACAACAAGAACAGGGCTCCACCGCTACGATTATCAATAACAAGAAGCAGCCATCCATCCTTGTCAATAGGATCAACTAACAGCAACAACAACCTAGCTAGAGGGACAACCCTGCTGTAGAGACAGTCACTGTAGTTCAACACAACCAAATGCTGGCTAACAACAGACTGTTTGCATGACTGATTCGTTACCTGAATAAAACTAGAAACATTTGTATCGCTGCTCCCTTGCAGTGTAGGTAATTGATCGGCTTGGATAGCGTTGGCTTATTGATTGGTAGTACCGGTAGAGGTGCAAGGATATCAGCTTGGATTTGGACACCAATGATAGGCCATCAACTCACAAGCGACAGGAAAATGGGTGCCCACGTACCCACACAAAAATCACCACCGAAACACTAGGAAATTCAAAGGAGGGATGAATCGAATCGAATACGAAATGCCACTTTCACCTGCGTGTGTGTGTGTTGTCGTATACAGTAGCCTGCTCTGGCTGATTGTTGCCTTTCAATAGTAACTCGACTGAATCAACGACGTTTGTTTCAGATGGCATAACAAAAGATCGACAGCGTTGTTATCAGGAGTGAAAACCACTTGACGCAATGGCAATAAGAAATAGATATGGAATTCTCTTCTATTCTAATCTAACAGGTGACTTGCCATTCTCTTCAAAATTCACCAACTTTACTGTCGGGCCAAGAAAAGAAAACCTTCCCAAGATGGTGTGATTCGATTCCAAGATGGCACCGTATGATTTTCACTTCTGCATCAGAGACGTTCCGCTTCAGTGAGGATTCATACTACCGGTACTGTAGAGGTGCAAGGATACTCCTATCATACGTAACCAGGATCCGCCACAAGTCTACTGTTATCAATCTTTCCACGAGTAACATGCATGCACAAAGAATGGTCCAACGCTGCGGAGTGAGTTGAGTGACGAGTCGAGTCGTCGAGTCTCTTTTTCTTGCATTATCTTATCATCCAGCATGCAGTCAAGCAACAACCACAACACTCAACCAAATTTTGTTGACAACCACTCGAGCAACAAAGCACCATGGGCCAAAGGATCTGCTGCATATTGGGTATGCTGATGGGATGATGCGCAAAGGGCTGATGATGCTAGGTGGGGCGAGGGGAGAAGAGGCCATGATGTGCAAACAATGCTCCATAAATCTCCGATTATTTTCTTCTAGTAGCTTTTTCAGCCGTTGATCTTGTGCCATTTGTCAAAGCTACTTGAACCTGTGTAAGCATCAATAGGCTTGCTTTACCATGGATGTGCCAACATGCCGAAAAGCCACCGGATGAAGTCTGCAAAAAAGGCTTCTCATACTGATTTAGTATAGGGTGTAAATTACTCGTTAGTTTAACAAACTATGGCCACGGAGTGGCTTTTGTGACGCGGGCAATTGGTGGGGAAGCCCCCACCTAGCTGAGTCGTCATCTACTTATTTGCCCAATCAACATGACCTCATCCACTGGCCCAACGTGGAGCCAGCACCAAGTAGACAGATGCCCTGGGTAGGGGGGTGAGCACATTGATAGGGAACCTGCAGCGCAATACCTGGGTTACAGGGGCTTACACAGGATTTTTGTCGGTATTGAAACCATTATCACCATAGGGACCGTGAGGACCAGCCAGTTAGATTGCCAGACCAAAGAGTGCTCGCCAGTAAGTGTGTCTGGGTGATCAGGTCCCAAGCTGTGGCAAGGGCCCGACTTCCCTGTTCTACCACAAACTTCACTCAAACCCAAGGTCCCACCAGACATCCCCCCCCCCTACACTTCACCACCAACACATCCCCATCCTCCGCGACTACAACAACACCACTCCCAGATGATCAGCCAGACAGCTCCTCAGAGCATGCAGCATTTGGAGGATCACAGCCCTGCCCGAATCACCTACCCGTATCAGGGAGGTTGCCTTTGTTCTCACCCCTTGACAGAGGCACGCCTCTATCCTACAACACCACCTACCATGCTACCACCACTCCTACAACACACCCAACACCACAGGAATCTCCCTCTTGCCCCTGGCACCAGCCCACTTCCAGTGCCCCCTTATCCTTCTTCTATTGACTCAACAACCCTCGAACAGCCCACAACAACTCCAGCAGCCACTGTGCCTCCCTCTGGGAACCACACACTGCCAGTGTGTCATTTGACCCCATCTTCTGCCTGCTTGTTGGCCTCTATCTAACAATTTTTGTGCATTGGATGGGTTACACCCTGCCTGGTCCAGCCTGAGGAGTACCACCTCCTACGGGCTCTGCTGGCATCTTGCTTCATGCCAAG